ATAGCGCCTATCAAAGCACCTATGATAGCACCTATGATAGCGCCTATGATAGTACCTATGATAGCACCTATGATAGTACCTATGATAGCACCTATGATAGTTCCTATGATAGCGCCTATGTTAGCACATATGATAGCACCTATGATAGCACCTATGATAGTGCCTATGATAGTACCTATGATAGCGCCTATGATAGCGCCTATGTTAGCACATATGATAGCGTCTATCATAGCACCTATGATAGCGCCTATGATAGCACTTACGATAGCGCCTATGAGAGCACCTATCATATCACCTATGATAGCGCTGATGATAGCACCTATGATATCGCCTATGATATCACCTATGATAACGCCTATGATAGCACATATGATAGCGCCTATGGTAGCGCCTATCATAACACCTATGATAGCACCTATGATAGCACCTATGATAGTGCCTATGATAGCACCTATGATAGCGCCTATCATAGCACCTATGATAGCACCTATGATAGCGCCTATGATAGCGCCTATGATAGCGCCTATGATAGCGCCTATGATAGCACCTATGATTGTACAATGACACCTATGATAGCACCTATCATAACACCTATGATAGCACCTATGATGGCGCCTATGATAGCACCTATGATGACGCCTATCATAGCACCTATCATAGCACCTATGATACCATCTATGATAGCGCCTATGTTAGTACCTATGATATTGCCTATGATAGCGCCTATCATAGCACCTATGATAACAACTATGATGGCACCTATGATAGCACTTATGATAGCGCCTATCATAGCGCCTATGATAGTACCTATCATAGCGCCTATCATAGCACCTATGAGAGCACCTATGATAGCATCTATGATAGCGCCTATGATAGCATCTATGATAGCACCTATGATAGCATCTATGATAGCACCTATAAGAAGGTGCTGTTTATAAGACTGAGTTTATTGCAGCTCTTTGGACTGATAGTCATTTGGATGAAACATTTCAATAAAAATAAACCTTTCAGAAGACCTGACAGCTTTTTTAGAGTACCGTAATAAGAATGGTTTAGTACAAATGCACGCTTCATGATGTCACAGCCTGACTTTGTCCAGTGATGATTGCTTTTAAGCAATATTGTTTATTTCACCCAACATTTGTTAAGCTAATTATAAAATACCAGCAACCATTCAGACCTTTACATTTAGTCTCTTTGCAGACAACTGTTCAGTGTTTTTAATTTTGAAAAGCAGAAACAAACAGCTCCTTCCCATTCAGCATTTATGTAACCACTACAGGAAAAGTTGCCCCTGCAGATGCTCCCTGAGACTTTTTGCTGCGTTCCCTCCA